TGAAATTGCTACTGCTTTGAGAGGGTCCTTTCTATCAAAATCAAGTTCAGCCTAGCAATACTAGCTGCTAAAAAAGCTCCAGATTATGTTTCAGAATTGGAAAAGTCATGTAGTCATTGTATTTGAGCAGCATTGATGTACTACGTATGTTTAGTACGTAGAGTTAAATCTGCTTTGAGACCCTTTCCAAGAGGTGCCACCATAATATTACTCTGGAAAAAATATTACTGTGAAGAATAAAAACATCTGCCTTTACATGTAGAGAGCTCTTGTATCGACCTACTATTTGGTAAAACGAAAATAGATACTGCAAACATTTTAATTTTTACTTCTTTCACCTACTTGTTGAAGGTTTATATTAATTGTTTGCTATTTAATGAGATCCTATAAAAGGACATAACCATAAGACTGACATTACTCTATACTTGGAAAATTACACAGGAGGTTAAAAGAACAGTAGGACAAGCCATCAAACTTCACTGCCCTAGCATATTTCCCATGAAACAGAAAGCTTTTAGGGATGCTCCACAGGTGCTCTCAATAAAATGAGTACCCAAATATGCCATGCACAGAGACATTCCTTTTATACAGTTATTTAGATTATACTACACTTACAACTGCTCTACTTTACTCCCTCTTCACAAGTCTAATCCATTAGACACATTCAAAAACACCGAAATGTGTCTAAATTAATGCTACTGCTTATTGAAGGAACAAACTTTCCTCTTAGACTATTTTTCAAATACATTTCTCCATATTAACATCAGATTTATTGCTGAGTTCATGTTTGAGCACTTACTTTAACTACCAGCTGTCCCTTCTGACCTGCTCCCTCATTTTTCTCATTAATGAGTTCTCTTGTGCACCACAAAGTAAATGCACTTTCAGACATGCAAGACTTTTAACTTCTCAATAATATTCACCAATATGCATAATATAATTCATTTCCTGTAACTATTATCTAATACTTCAGATCAGTTCACACATCACAAAGTTAGCTACACTGAAATCAATGTGAAGTCAGGAACCTACAACGTATTTAGTCAGAGCTGGGATATTTTAAAGAAGCAGCCAAGAACAGTGACTCCAAAATAGACGTCCATAAAAGAACTGACCCTCTGCACTTCCAAGTCATGGGAAAGCTCCTTATCTTCACTTGTTTGTTAGACTGGTTTGTTATTTAGGTTCAGGATCTGTTTTTATTCCTTTTGCTGTCTTCTTCCTGTCTACTCAGCGCTTGGCACAGACTGACATGTGCCACAACATACTGAACAGAATGACTTGAAAAGCCAATCAAGATAAAGTTTGAAATGTTAAACTTCCCAACAGTTACAAGGTTCAAAAAACAGCCATACTTCCAAGGAGTCCTCAGGCATATGAAAATCAAAAATCTTCGTCTAAAGGAAGTTCTGACTCCAAAATAAAGAATATTAAAAGTTCAGGTTCTCTCCTGGAAACGATTAAGGTATTGCAATGGAAAACTGTAATTCAGAAGAGCTTTATTATTTGCCTTAACCTCAGCAAAAACTAACCAATAAAAAAAACACACACACAAAAAAAACCCCTCTTAACTGAACTTTAAAATAAAATAAGAATTTGGCAATATTTTGCACATTTTATAAAGAGAACACTTTCCAGAGTGTTATGGATATTGAATGCAGCAAGTTTGCTAGCACAACAGAATACCAGCCCCCAGCAAGTTTTTTTAATAACTTTATTTCCAAATCTAATTATCAGAATTCCCATGTTGAAAAGCAGTATTTCTATTTACTGTGCCTAAATAAAACTTTTATGAATCTCTCAAAATATTCTTAAAAAGCTGCCCTCTGTTTTAGTTGCGGGAAAGTTACATTTCTGAATGTTATTTTTTTTGTTTATGAACTACTGACAGAAGAGTTACAAAGTACATTTATGTGATAACTGACAAAATTTGAAAACAGTTAAAAAACGTAGATATTAACTGATATAAGCAAATGTTTACTTGCATACATATATGTGGTACTTAACTAATAGCATATTCCTTACATAATGCATACGAATAAAATTACAGGTAAGAGATCCTTTCAGGGCTAGAGGCTAGTTTTATAGGTTACTAGCTGTTAGATTTGCCTTCCAAATTCTAAATGCCAAGGACCAGCCTAATCAAGTTGAGACATTAGCACAGAGCCCCAAGATTTGGTTACTGAAGCTAGTCACAGAACGCAGAGGTGTGTTTGCTTGAGGCAAGTCTCTCATCCCTGTTTACCAGGCTTTCGTTTGCCTCACAGAGACATCCTGGAAGACCTAGGTTAGCTAAAGTTAATGCCAAGCCTTTAATTTGACATAAACCAACCCTTCAAAAGGCATGATCAGCCAGCCAGTGCCCTTGGCCTACAGCAGCCAAGGGGAAGGCCTGTGGCTTAGCTGGCACAGCAAGGCAGTGTGTGTTTCCCAGATGGAAGGTTCAGGCTGTTAGAGTCCCTTCCAGCCTATCAATAACCAGGTCAACAGCACAGAAGACATCCTGACTGGCTGCCCTTGTAAGAGGTATTTTAACTGGCTGGTTGGGTCAAACAGCACATGCATCCTTCCCAGCTAAACTGTCCCTGTCCCACTTATCAGCAAAAGGTGTCTGCTGCATGCATGTACGTTTGTACACACACGAGTAGCACAGCAGTAGTGAGTGATTTGCCTGAAGCTAGGAAATGTTGCCATGAGTATGTTGATATTCCAGTGAGAAGGATAACTGTTGAAATAAAATTGAAGTCTTCCATGGACCACTCAGTCACTGAAGGTAGATTCCCCTAATACAAATCTGTAAAGGTTAAATATTTAGTATTAATTTATCATCAAAACACTAAGAATCAGCTTTACACAGTTGCCTACACTGCCAAATATCCCTAACTTATGACACTGGACAGGAATACCAGTCAAAAACAAGAGGCTTCCACTGCTGCTCTTATTTACCTGAGGAGCAGCAGAAGGCAACATGTAAGATCACTCACAGAGCTGCAATGGCCCAATCAATAACACTGCAGAACAAACTGCAGAACATAAATTCCTACTAGAAACAACCAAATGGAAAACAAAAATACTGACACCATGAGTGAAGAGAGCTCTGTTCAGCACAAGCCCGAACAAGTCTGAAAATGGCTTTACATTGCTTTTAGACTTCTGCCTGCTGGGGCACATTTATATCACTGAAACCAACTTCTACCGAAGTATGGCTCATTTATTTTGCAGTCACTGCCTGTAGCACATTCCTCCCTCTCCAACACCACATCAGGGTTGTTCTGGGCGTTTGTTATCGCTGGAGCACAGCAATTACTAGCCATGCCCAAATACTACAGTCACATAACCTGTAAAAGGTGTATGGAACAGCACAGAAAAGTCAGAATTGTTCTTAACCATTATCATAGCATGATAATTATCCCAAATGATAAGCACACCTTTCTTTCATGCCAACATTTAACAACTTCAGCAGAAATAATTCCTGCAGAAAAATAGAAAACCTACTTGACAAAGTTTTCATACTGTTGTAACTACCTAGTTTTTTAAAAGCATACAGGTAAAGCTACCCAGATACAGTTAAGGAAATTTAAAAATTATTGTATTAGACAGAACTGCATCTGCCCCAAAGGGCACAGCCCTAGGCTATCAGCTTTTAAATTGGCATCATCTTGGCAGTGCACAAGCCAAGTGTAACCCAGTTGAAAGGACAGGCCAGGAAACAGGCTACCATGATGGAATGAGCAGTGTGGGGACCTGCAGGCTGACGCCATCTTCTTTGCTGTGTTGGGGAGTTTTGGAGGGCTATCTATTTGCAGATAATTTAAATTCTTCAGATAGTGGAGTTTGATTGATTTTTAGTGCCCTGCTTATGAATGTTTCTGTTTCCCTCCTCTCTCACATACACACACTTTTACAACAGATGTTTTCAAGTTTTTTTCTATCAGAGTAAATATAACAGATACTGAACAGCACTGAGAAAAAGTTTCTCAGTGTACAGCTATATAACAAGAGGTGCATGTTAGCAGGTTATGAATACAAAAATCATAAGTTGGACAAATTTTAGTTATTTCAGAATGTATGCAGCATATAGCATCAGGTTTTTCAAAATATACTTTATTCGCAACTGTGTTATTTTTCATATACAGGAGCTGGGAATAACTGTAGAACACCCTTAAGATCATTGAGTCCAACCATTAATCAATGAAATCTAGCTATTACTTTGATTTCAGATACAAAATTATGGTTTAGTGATTCTACAGCAAAGAATTATTTCACATATTATTTTGAAAGCTTCAAAGTTTTTTGCACTGGAAGACCAACGATAAGTTGTCAATTTTTCTTTCTAAATAGCAGTTTGGACTGAAAATACTGTGCATTTCATCTTGTATTACAAATACATGATGATTCAATCAGCTTGTTTGACTTCAGTCTAAGCAATCTTAATCATGCTGTACACCTCTGAAGAGAGAGGGAGGCTTGAGCTGACAGAACACCTCCTGGAACAAAGTGCTCATATATATATTACACTAATGTATAATTCTTATTATATAAGTACTTATTCTGAGTATTAAAAATAGAAAATCAGGTAATATTTATATTGACTCTTCTCTAAAAAAATAAACAATTTAAAATAAAAGTTTGTTCCAAAGAGACAGTACTTTTATCTGAATAAAGTTTTTTTGTTAAAATTCCATCATAAATATCTCACCCTCAATAAGTAACATTTCATAAACAACATTCACAAAGCTATTGAACAGATTTTCAACTTGTTAAAGCAGCACAGAGGACTCAATAAATCTTCAGCCATTAAAACCAACTAATAATCTAAAGTCAGTTTTTCAAAGATACATATGGGCAGGTGTGCTACCTAAAGAAAGCAGGGTTGGTTTTGTTGTTTTTTTTAACAGGTAACACATTACATAACTTCACATATATATGTGTGTGTATATATATAAACACTCTTCACACACATAGGCCATCAATTTTGAGAAGTCAGAACTGTATCTTACCAAGACTGAATTCCAGCTTTGGCTCATTTGCAATTCTCTGAATACCTTTTAAGGTTAAGAAAAAAAGAAATTAGAAATAATTTTATTTTAATTTCTAGCTTTTTACAACATAATAAAAATTTCACATGCCTAATTTATACCTCTAAACACCTGCTATTGCAATCAGAGTAATATTTTATGTTACAGACTTAGAGCGAAAGAGACCTTTGCATGAAATACTTGCTAAAAAAGCCAAACCAAACAAAAAACAACACAAAAAAAAGGAAAAACAAATAAACCCAAAACAACCAGACTACTTTTTAAAAAGACTTTTCTCTCTAATAGAAACTTTTTGTGGCTGGACGAAGTTGCTAAGCAAAAAAAACAGTCTTTAATGGATGAGCACTGGTAAGATTTTCAATAACACTTAAATATATATCTGTTGGAAAAATACTAAATCTAACAAACTAATTTTTAAGCAGATATGTCATCACATTAAAAATAGAACAAAAACATGTTTCATGAGAGTATGCAAATTATATTAATATAGTAAAATATATCACCATGCTACCGACCTACATATAAATTGTAAAGCAACAAAAACTTTTGTTTTTGAAAACAGCACATGAATCCCTTTTCTTATATACCAAAGACAAAGAGAACATTTTAATTCTTACCAGTGTGGAATCATGTTCTAGTGCATCTTTTACTGCAAAGGACAGTATTTTCTAATTTCACTAGGATAAAGGAGTGAACCACAGAATTGCAATAAGAGAAATGTTGGAAGGATAGTTAAATAACAATTGTTCACTCTCTGCCAGAAGTCAATGGATCACAACTACAGTACCAACATCGTAGAAATTAAACTGTTTCTTGTTGACATTTATGTTTTGTCTCCAGTGAACAATATTAAGCATTTTACAGTACTGAATAACTCAGTCCGAAGGAAAGGACCAAGTTGCTATATGAACTGGAACACAAGATTTTTGTTAAAAATTAAAAATAGGCAAACTCCACACACAAAAAAACAAAGTCAAAAAAAACCAAACAAAAAACCACCAAAATTTAAATCTGTTCTTGCTCCACCAAAATCTGATATTGACCAATAAGTCTAGTTTCACCTTGTTCTTGTTACTATAGTTAAGAATTCAAGTAAGTGCAAGAAAAATTATAGCTGCAGAGCTAAAAAGGCCTTGGGATCAGTAAAAAAAAAAAAAAAAATGTTTTTAGGTTGTGGGGGCTTTTTTTGTTTTGTTTTGTCAGGGGTTTTTATTTGGGCTTTTGCTTTGTTTTTAATGGAATTATAGCAAGTTTCCAAGTTGAATTCTGCCACTAGTAGAGTCAGCACATTGGTCTGGAACACCTTTATGAATTTACTGCATACAGACTTGATTAAGTATCTGGGCAGCTGAAAGACAACGCGTAATAGTGTGACCCAGACTCCAGCACATTAAATATAACTCAACATATGGTTACGTGCTTTCAGATCCCCAGGGTGCTTTTGTTTTTTTGTTTTGTTTTGTCAGGGGTTTTTATTTGGGCTTTTGCTTTGTTTTTAATGGAATTATAGCAAGTTTCCAAGTTGAATTCTGCCACTAGTAGAGTCAGCACATTGGTCTGGAACACCTTTATGAATTTACTGCATACAGACTTGATTAAGTATCTGGGCAGCTGAAAGACAACGCATAATAGTGTGACCCAGACTCCAGCACATTAAATATAACTCAACATATGGTTACGTGCTTTCAGATCCCCAGGGTGCTTTTGTATCACAAAGACAAAATCTGTGATACTAATTTAAGCATCGCTGAAGCTTTAAACGTTTATCAAAGTTATCAGACCACATTTTAAACAGCAGTCCAAATGTTCACATACGACACAAATGAAGAAAAGAGTATTTCTAACTGATATTTCTAACTTTCAAGTCTTATGAATAAAACAGAATGCAGAGAAAGAGTCAGAAAGGCAGTAAGTACACATTTGCTAAAGGTTATCTGCATAAATAAATATAATCCCGTTATATTTTGAAAGATAATGAACAGTTTTCTTCCTTTACAACTACAGTTTGTCAATCAACAAGGTAAAAAGCACTATGTACCCTGTTTCTGACACTCTCTCTACTGCAGTAGATTGTGGGCCATTTTTATTGTACTACTCAGTAAAATGAGTACATGCACTTACTTGTGAACTGTGGCTCTCCTAGACTGTCTGCTTGGGATGAAGGGAGAAACTGTTGCGCTTCATCTGATGATCTCTCCTCTTTGATTTCCATGATCAGCCTCCGGAGCTGTTGAATTTTATTCTGCAAACCTTCCGAGTTTGCCTCTCCCAGTGCCACAGCCCAAGATTCACAGTCTGGCTTTGATGCAGCTTCGAGGTAAAGATCCGGTTCTCCGCTCTGAAACTCTGCACTCGGAAAACATAAACACAGTTTTTAAGAGCTCTGATTCAAAAGGGGGGTCATGAAAATATTGATGTCACACACAATTAAAACCACCACGTACTCATTTCTTTTCATGGTCACGGAACCACACACCCCCATCCACCTCTTGAAACAAGCCTCCTGTTCTTTCATATTCAATGCAGTACTAAGTCTATCCACAGAGTGGTTCCAAAAGCAATTAACATATTACTAAACTTAGGTGGCAGAATCAAAGTGGAATGGGAAAACCTTTTTTAGCACAGATTCTGCAGCCTAGCAGGTAGCTATCACAGCTGCTAACTTGAACAAGAATTTGATTTAGCAGGGGCTGCAGACATGGTTCTGACTGATTCACCAGAATGTCCATTGTTTCTTGTGTTAGAGATCTCCTTTATGCTCAGCCTCTCATTCACCCTTGCCAGAACTCTGCTCACCAGTACATGCAGATAATTTACCATGACATAGCTCCTCTGTGAAGACTCAACAGGTTGTATGTGGGAGCTTCTGACCTCATTACTAGCCACATATAATTTGCTTTTCTGCCTGAAGTCTAATTGTTTAATGAACAAATTTTCTAAGAACAAAAAAAAATAAATTGATGAGAGTGGGGTGAAGCTGAAGCTCCCAAGGTACCCAGGTAAGTAGCAAGGGTCAGTTGTTCGATTAAAACTAGCACAGGAAGAAAAAACACCCCCTAGGCATTTAAAATTCTGCAGTATAGATGGCTTCACAGAGTCACAAATTCAATGTGACATTTAGTGCGATACACACTGAGAAAGAAAGAAAAATCAATATGTCTTTAAAAAGAAGTTACCAACTGATTTAGAAACATAACACCTATACTATTGTATTAGGAAGGACTAAAGTATTTAGTTGGACATCAAATCATTTTGACCTAAATAAGCCACAGATCACAGTACTGGATGAAACAAAACACTGAAGTGTTGTCATATTCAGTTCAAAAACCCAAATATTATAGTAAGGTTTTTTGAATCCTAAGTGAACTTAGTATCTAACCTTGGGCACTTACACACGTTATTCTAAACACATTTGTACTTCATAAACTAAGAATCTGCCACTTCTGTTATTGTTATGCAGGGGACAAAAGATGCAAACCCGAAAGCCTCTTAAAACTGTGCTAGTAAAATCCCTGTAGAGGTGGGGCAGGTTTTTTGTTTGGGGGTTGGATCTATTGAAATCTGTATGGCTGCAGCTGCTAGATAAGATTTTACATATCAGTTGGACTATAGAATTCATGAGGAAAGACTGGGAAGAAGAGCAGGAAGGTGGGGAACATCTTTCTGGCTTCACTGACAATTTAAGAAACACTAATAAGGATTCAAATTCTTTCCTCGAGCCCTGGTGCTCAGTCAAAAAATAAGTATCAATTTTGTGAGATAAGAATATTCAAAATCTGAGGGAGCTGCAGGCTTTCATCAAATTCTTGTTTACACACAAGTACATACTTGTCTTGCGTGACCAAACCTGAACAAGCTGAGCCTTTTTGTCAACTATGAATTTAGAGACAAAGGTTTCAGCCATAAACTCTTATCTGCTCTGCTATTGCATCTGAGCCATGCAGATCATAACCTTCCAGAACACTGGCAATAGCTAGTTACTGTTCTGCTTCTCCAGTAAGATCTGGAATATCTGAATTGTCTACTCCCTTCTGTCACTGACCCCAGTGCCTCATAAGTTCATTTTAATTTCATAGAATTTTAGAACAATCAATGGAAAAAGGAAAGGAACAAAGAGGCATGTAGTTAACCAGCACCAAGAAAAAAACAAAAAAAAAACCCAAACCAGTACTCATTCTAGTTTAAAAACAAAAAAACAAATTTCAGGCGTGCAAAATACCTGCTTGTACCATTCAGCCTTTAAAAGCACAGAATTTTAACAGAAGCATTTTGAATATCCAAGATACCTTAGCAAAGGAAAGACTGATAGACAAACAAACCACGACTTAGCAATCAAAACACAAATGTATCAAGGTAATGTTTTCTTTTTGCTCTTTATTTTTGAATGTAAATAGGAACAGTGATCTTGTCTGAAATATTCTATCACTAGCTAGATAAAAAACATCTGCTTTGGGAGGAAATCAATGTTTTGCAATTGAAATCATGCTATTTATACTTACCTCTTAGCTGTGGAAATCAGACTGCCAAGCACAAAAGGCATACTGAATCACCCTTAATAGCACGGAATAAGAAATGGGTAGTGAAATGCAGTAGGAGTGGGCATAATTCACTGTATTCTGATCTAACAGGTGTCAGTTTTAAGATGTGGAAATGAATTTCAAAATATCACTTCAAAACACTACAGTCTCCTATATTTAGACCATTGGAGTACTCTGGCAGAGAAATTAAATTCTGAAAAGCATATGAAAATATCCAAAAAATATTAATCACTGCAAAGGTGGAAAGTTTGATTTTTGAAATCCAGCAGTTGTTAAGTTATATGTTTCCTATACTGTTTCAGTGCATGTAATGTTCATGTACAAGTTCACATACAAAAAAAAAAAATATACTGTTTCCAAACTGCACATTAGCAAATAGGTCTGTTCCGATAAAGGAGCATGCAGGTTTATTTACGTAATAAATATGATCATTGCTTTGCCTTTATCTCCCAGGCAGTTACGTTCACTATTGTTTTAAAACAGATACATACAGTAAACCTTATCAAGCTCAAACACTTAATTCCAAGTTTCAGTAGGAGGACAAAACTTAGCTGAAAAGAGTCTTTCTGAAAATAAAACTAACAGACTTACAAACGTAATGAAGGCCACAAATGAATGGTGGACATATCAGCAGAATTATATTGTATTGAAACATCCATGAGAGGATTTCATGGATAGACAACAGCTTTTAAGAAGTTAATGTAGAAAATACAAGTACACAAACATGCTTTTTTATGCTCTGTTATTCTTGAGATGAGTTACCATGAATTAGTTTTGGAAAAACATCTTGACCTTTTGAGAACATTTACTATTGACTTCAATTAGACCAGTTCTTTATCTGGTATGCATTCCTAGTTTTGCTGATATAATTTTTAAATAAGAGGATATGTAAGGTCTAAGAACATACAATACCAAGAAAATTTTCAATCTACTTGGAAATCTGCAATAGAAGAACAGTAATTTTCATCCTAGTGCTGGACATCCCCAGTGGAGTTTCCAGTTCAGTAGCATAAACCCAGGGAAGACATTCACAAAGTTAAAAAGAATGGTTTTCTTTCCAAGACATTCACCTTAGTAGCCCTAAATGCCAATAAAATTGGAATGTAGTTCTATATTTCTTTTTCATCTTAAACTGAAGAAGGTCTATATAGCTACAAGAACCAACCTAGGACCTTTTGACAGCTTATATAAACTCAGAAAAAAACCACAAGGGAAAGATTCCAAGATCATGATGTTGATGTAACTTACAGTAACTTGACAGTGTTTGTCCTAACAGTGGTTTTATATGTCTAATTGAAATCACTATCTAAATCAATATTTTGCATAGCTTTGTCTTCAGCTTTTTCCCATAGATTTTGTTTCCTTGAACCTAGCAGAGTGCTTAAAAGCAAGAGTACTCTGAATAGTCAGACATATTCTTTTGTATCTGCCACTAAACACCAGTCTGCAATTGCAGTAAATAACCAACTGCCAAAACCTTTTGCCTCATATCTCTACTGTTAGTTCAGTTTTAAACTATCCAGTTGAAAATACACTAATGGTAACAGCTACCAGCCTCAAGAAGGGAAATAAAAAACCAAATATTACTAATCCTAAGGCACAGAGTGGACTCTAGATGTTAGCATAGACCCTTGGACAATGCAACTGTAACTTAAATAATGCAGCAAAAGTGAATTAACACCAAGGCATCACTGGTGAAATTTGTGGGAACAAATTCTGTAGCAGAGAACTCTGCTGGATGTGGCACCTGGGACTATACAAACACATACCCACTTGGCCAGCAGGCTTAGTGTGAACGGCCAGGTATTTCCTTACACGAACATGAAATGTCCTTTGAGTCAGCCGACAAAACTGACTTAAAATGGCGTCTCCACGTGGCGCTGAACCCTCTGTGTGTGTGGGGGGGAGGGGGAGAAGCTGCTGCGGGGGAGGAGCCGCGGCCGGAAGCAGGGGCGGGACAAGGTCCCGTCTGACAGGCTGAAAAGCCCAGAAATACAAAACCGGCCAATCGGGAGCAAAAGAAAAACCCTATAAAAGAGGCAGCGCGGTGTGCTTTTCTCTCTCTCGCTCTCGTTCTCTCCTTGTGTTCGGCGCGCGGTTCCGCACACACTGCTTGCTGCCGCCATTTCCCACCGAAGCCTCCATTTCCTGCTGCGTGCTGCCGAAACTGCCGCGCCGACCACCGCCGCTTCTCCTAGTGGGGGGGGCGACCTGCGCTTGGAGCCCCGCCTGCAGCCGCTTCGCTACCCAGCTCGTCCTACCTGCGCCGCCGCGTGGTGAGACAATTCCGGCTACCCCAGCTTATAGGGGAAAGTATAATCCTGCCTTACCTGCACACAAATCGCGACCCTATACAGGAACAGCGTCGGGCATATTCCTCCCCCCTCCTTCCATCACTTAAATAAGTAAATATGGTGTGTAACTAAGGTGTACCCATACATATTTCATGTGTTTTAATCACTCCTTTTGAACCTCCTGCCCCAAATTGCTTTGTTTTCCCCGCAATAAACCGTGCATTTCGTTGGAAATATTAGTAAGCACTGAGCAAGTTATTCACTTGAAAAAGTCAGGGCATAAGCCCCTGTCTCCTCTGTGTGAGGCGATACCCACGTGTGGATCTCTCAGCACATCCTGATAAGCGTAATACACTCCAAAAAGGAGATATAATAGGTCACGGATCATGACACTTGCCACACACACATCTTGAGGGAAAGTTTTGTAGTCTAGAACCTGCCCAACTTCCACACTGTATAATCAAGTTCAAAGTTCCCTTGACTTCTCAACCCTTGATGCACAAAGTGGGCAGAA